AAAAAAAAAAAAAAAAAAAAAAAAAAAAAAAAAAAAAAAAAAAAAAAAAATATATATATATATATATATATATATATATATACACCTGTTAGTAATGAGTAGAAAATTTATGAAAAAAAAAAATCTGAACTATAGGGATAAAAATGTAAATTTTTATATCTGATATATCGAAAATTCGAACTGAAAATTTAATTGATATCATATATGATTATTTTTTTTTTACGAGTACAATATCATGGAACGAGACATTCAATCTTATAAAAGATAATAAGTGCCTGATCCACTGAGCTAAATGCTCGGATTGACATCATATACAATTTCTCAAATCCAAAATAAAATTTTAATATACAAAAAGTGACGTAATAATACCAAATAATAAAACATTGTCTCAAATACATTCCAAAATACAAACAATTGGATAGAGAGAGATAGAGACAGAGATGGAGAGAGAAAGAGGAGGGAGAAACTCTTTCTCTCTCTACCCTATCTTTCTTGTTCTTATTATTTTTTTTTATTTTTTTTTTAGCTCCTATGTATTTGGAACTCCAACAACATTAATCACATTCCCCAGCGGAATGGGTTCTGCAAAAAAACACAAAATCATTAAGAAAATCACAAAATTTTTAGGGAAAAAAAAAAAAAACGTCATTAGTTAGCTTCATTACCACCATCATCTTCTTCTTCTTCTTCTTTTCGATGTAGCTGCTGAGCTCGGCTGCTCGAGAAAGGGATTCCTCGAGTGCCTATAACAAAATTTCAACCATCATCGTAACATATCAGCTTACGCTTATTGCTTATTGCTTATCGTATTAAGAATATGAATTAAGTAATGAACGTTCACCTTCTTAGTTTCTTGCAATTCATGTTCCAAAGTTTCAACTTTGCCCAAAGCAATGTTGAGCATTTCCTCTTTATCAGCCGGCATGGCGGCCGGTTTCATGTTGAGGACATTGACTTTCTCTTCGAGCTCCGCCATGCGCTTCATCATTGTCATGTAGTCGCTAAGAGGCACGGCGGCGGGGGGCGGCAACGCTGGATGTCTCGGCATCGAACCGTCGTAGTAGACCGTGCTGCTGTAGATGGCTGCCTCTGTGAGCTTCTTTGGCATGGTTCTAGTTAGCCGGACCATTGTCACTATTCCCATTACCACAGCCATTATTCCTCCAACTAGTTGGTTGCTGAAACCATCTGGGACTTTGTAGTTTTCATGCACTGCAAATGGGTCTGATCAACATTGTTCTATCAGCATCCCTATGTTCGTGTTTGTGAAGAACATTGTATGATTTAAAGAACATACCTTTGGATAAATTGTATTTTTCATTTGAAATTGCCCAATTTTGATCCATGTTTTTATCGACCACAGGGACGAACTTGTTATATTGATACTCGCAATCCATCTTTTTCGACATTTGAACCTGAAATTTACAACAAAAACACCGAAACTAATATCATAATCCGTTGAGGATTGGAGAGAGTCCCATATTGGCTAATTTAGGGAATGGTCGTGAGTTTATAAGTACGGAATAAATTTCATTGGTACAAGGCCTTTTGGGGAAACCCAAAGTAAAGTCGAGAGGTTATGCTCAAAATGGACAATATCATACTATTGTGGAGGTCAGTGATTCCTAACATGGTACCAGAGTCATCCTCTTAAATTAGCTATGTCAATGGAGAATAAAGGGTGTACTTTGTTCGAGGGCTCTAGAGAAAGAAGTCGAGCCTCAATTAAGGGGAGGCTGTTCGAGGACTACATAGACCTCAGGGGGAGGCTCTATAGTGTACTTTGTTCGAAGATTGTCCACTCAAAGTGAACAATATCATATCATTGTGGAAGTCCGAGTTAAGTGATTTCTAGCATAATCATCGTTTTTTGTCCGTGGGTTTCTTTCAAATTCTTGATGGAACTTACTTCCACTGCTGCTGAAACAGGGGACGGTTTTGCTTGCTTTGGGGACGTGCAAGACTCTGCCACCGCCGCCGCCACCGCCGCCTCAGGAGCTGATTCTAAGTTGGATGAACCACTTATCTGCAAGTAAATGAAAAATTAAAGGATTTAAAGAAGAAAAAAGATGGGTTTTGTTAAAGTTTTGATTTTGATCATCATATTATTGCCTTGCTTCCTGTGTTGTCATCTTCAGAAATGGTCTTCTCTTCAACGTTGGATAATGACCTCCTCCTGCATTTTCCTTCACCATTTTGAACCATCTGTGATAATTTCATCATTTTAGTTTTTGATTCTGTAAAAAACACGACCATGGAAGATGGGATGTTTTGAAGTAACCTTAATGATTTCTGGGTCGTTCCATGGTCCCTTGTCGGATCTCATACAGCCACCCTTGTCGGCGCAGGTGCAAGAACCTCCCAAGAACTCTGGAAGTTCACTGATTTTCACAAACAAAAACACATTCAGAGACAAGAAATGGGTTTTCTTTGATTTCAAGAACGAAAAAGAAAGAACCCCACCTAGCATCGATGATCTCGAGCAATTTGCTCTGATACTTATTGCCAAGAACATTGATTTTAGCTGTCGTTTTTGGGTCAAGAAACGATTTCACAGTGTTCCATAGAAGCCTGAATCCAGATCCAGCGTTGATGATGAACATTCTGTTCAATGTCTTTAACCAGCACAAAACAAATCCCACACTGTCTCAGTTAGCAAATTAGGCCATAATGTTCCAAAAGTTTTGAACTTTTTCAAAAGGGTACCTCTGGATAGTTGTCACCATCAACCTTCTGCAGCCTCTGGATGAGTTCCCGGGCAGATTTGTTGAAGCTCTTGAGTCCCTGCACGAAAATTCCACCGTTATCGTTCAAGACAGTCGAGAAAACAAGAAACAGACACGTTACGAATATTGAGGATTATTGGGAGGAAGTCCCGCATTGGCTAATTAAGGGTTGATCATGAGTTTACAAGTACGGAATAGGAAGCTCAAAGCAAAGCCACGAGAGCTTAGGCTCAAAGTGGACAATATCATACCATTGTGGAGAGTCGTGATTCCTAACATGGTATCAAAGTCATGCTCTTAAGTTAGCTCGGTTAGTAGAATCCTCAAGTGTCAAACAAAGGGTGTGCTTTGTTCGAAAACTCCATAGGCTTCAGGGGAGGCTCTATAGTGTACTTTTCGAGGGGAGGATTGTTACCCTTTGTTCGAGGAATCCATAGGCCCCTTTGTTCGAGGAATCCATAGGCCTCAGAGGAGGCTTTATGGTGTACTTTCCGAGGGGAGGATGGTTGAGGATTGTTTGGAGTGAGTCCCACCGTTGGTACGAAGCCTTTTGGGGAAGCCCAAAGCAAAGCAACGAGAGCTTATGCTCAAAATGGACAATATCATATCATTGTGAAGAGTCGTAATTCCTAACAACGAAATTAGAGTTTTCAACGTACCACGCCTTGGACATCCAAGATGGTCGTGCTCTGATCAATATGCTTCTTAGCAGCAATAGAACAAGCTGGGAACTTCATAACAAAGGTCCTCTCGAACTCACGGACATGGTAATTCACGTATCTATCCATCGTCGTCACTTCCAAGAGCTTGGTCGAGTCGACCATGCCGAGCCTTTCGATGTACACGGGTCGTCCATCTTTGTCGACTCCATGATGTCCTTGTGGATAATACTTCAACACGTCGTCTATCTCCTTGAATTCAAAGTCCTCCATTATTGTGTCGGATCCGAACTCTTTGCGCCATTGGAGCATGTCCGACCACATTTGCTTTGACTTGTCGATGTCGAACTTTCTAGCTCGCAAGAACCTGAGCATCATGTGATGGTCGTCATGTTTTGAAGGGAGGAGCTCTTCTAGTATGAGAGCTTGGCGGAAGGCGTCTACTGCTTGTAATTCCTCTGCGTCGATGTCGTCTTCTATGGAAATTGACATCACTCTGCTGCTGTTTCTTCTGCTTTTCTTCTTCATTGAATGTCTGAACTTGTTTGAGGCGTTGATTGCTTTTTGCTTAAGAGATGCTAGCCTTGTCTTTCTCTCTTCCTCCGACATCTCGACTTCGTTGGCTCCTACGACAAGAAAAGCATCGACATGTTAGAACAATGGCTCCTCAAGGTTAAAACACATCCATTAGGGAGAGATTTCTACATTGGGAATGTTTCGTTTCACTCTCTAACCGATGTGGGATCTCACAATCCACCCCTTTGGAGGTTGGGGTTTCCCTTCAAAGTTCCGATGTAGGATCTCACAGTCCACTCCCTTGAAGGCCCAGCTTTCCCCTTCAGGTTTTCCTCAAGGTTTTAAAACGCATCCACTAAAGAGAGGTTTCCAGGTCAGGAGCATCCACTAGAGAGAGGTTGGTTTCCACGTCAAGAATGTTTCGTTCCCCTCTCCAACCAATGTGGGACCTCACAATTCACCCCATTGGAGACCCAACGTCCTCGCTAGCTTTATTGGGTTTTTCCTTTCAGATTTTCCCTCAAGGTTTTAAAACAATGACACTTGTTAGGCCTTCCCTTCAAGGTTTTAAAATGCATTCACTGAAGAGAGGTTTCCACACCCTTGAGGAATGTTTCGTTCCCCTCTACCACCGATGTGAGATTTCACAATCCACCCCTTTAGGGGTAGCGTCCTCGCTGATACATACCCTGATATCGGGGTCTGATACTACTTGTAATAGCTCAAGCCCACCAATAGTAGATATTGTCTTTTCCCTTTCGAGCTTCCCCTCAAGGTGAGACATGTACTAGAGATAGGTTCCCACCCTCTTACCAGGGATGTTTTGTTTCCCTCTCCAACCAACCTAAGATCTCACATCTTCCTTCATTACTCGGTCATTTAGGAGATAGAAACACACATACCTTTACCCGGTCGGTCGAGAGGATCGGACGACATGTTGTCACACATAGCTTGCTATCCTAAGGGAGGTAGCTATGAGTGGAGACAAGGATCAAAAGGGTGAGAGAATCCAGCAGGCGTAAATGTGTATACAACTCCAAAAAACAGAGCCCTCTCTCTTTGTGCCTACAACTTCCATGTTAAACACATTAAACCCACATTAGAAATCCCAGAATGACAGCAAACAAGACACACACAGTGCACAAAAACAAGAAAGACCTTCAAAACTCCAAGAAAACAGGACAAGAAAACAAACAAAATGGTGCAGAAGATCTTGTCCCCTTCTTCTTTTCTCGCTCTGTCTCCGAAGAAGAAGAAGAAGAAGAAGAAAGGTTAGAGGAAATACCTTTTGACAAGATGGCATTTGGGTGAGAGAGGTCGATATGAAGAACAAATGTTTACTCAAAATAGGCCTCCAAATGGGACACCTAACACATTGACAAAGTCTCCCAAGAAAAACATAGAAAAGTTTCCATTTTTACATCTTCCAATGCCGAAACCCAAGCCACTCCGCCCATTATTGTTTTTTTAGCTGTCACCTAGAATAGAGGATCCTAAGCTGTCACAATGTATTGTCGGTTATTTAGTTCATATCCTCGTGTATTTGGTTATAACCCCTTTTAGTTTATCTTCCCTTTATAAACAGTGATGTTACGGATCAGTATTGTTATGTCTGTATAAAAATTTATCTAGCATTGTTTTGAGGTGTGGAGTTATTGTCATTTTGCATTTGCCTAAACGTAATTGGAAGGAACTTTGTAAGAGAGATTTTGTAGCGTAAGAAGGTAAGATATAGACTTAGAGATCAGTTCATCTTTCATTTTGATACATGAATCGTTGATTTATGTATAAACAGTGATCTTGTGAATCAGTATTGTTATGTCTATATAAAGATTTGTCTAGCATTGTTTTGAAGTGTGGAGTCATTGTCATTTTGTATTTACCTAAACGCAATTGGAAGGAACTTTGTAAAAGAGATTTTATAGCGTGAGAACGTGAAATATAGACTTGTAAACACTTTGATTATAGTGATTGCCTGTCATCAGTGGATGTAGGGGAATTTCTTATCTCCGAACCACGTAAAGTTTTGTGTCTCTTTGTGGGTAGGTGTGAGTGCGATTGATCTTGCTTCGACTTCCGCTACAACAATGGATATCAAAGCATTTTTTCTTACCGAACGCTTTTTTTTAGAAAGGTTGACCTAAATAAAGTCAATTGGTTTGAATGTGATCATGGAGCTCCACATATTGAGCCATGAGCTGTGAATCCATAAAGAAAGAGAAAAAAGATGGAAATTTTGTATTAAACAATTGAAAATAAGAAGTACCCTTTATTCTTAAGAGTATTATTGTTTAGAAAAATGGTTTCTTTTATAAGATTGTGGAAGGCAACAACACTTAATATTCATGATTAGTTTATGACAACCATCCCATGATTGTTGAATGTCATGTTCTTTTGGACATTTTTGTTATTTTCTCCCCTAAATTAATAAAAATATTTATAAAGTTTATATTTATCTAAATAATATCTATTAATTTTTAAAAATTTCAATAATCTAATTAAACCTTTTTTAAAAAAGGAAAATTATTTAAAAAATATATTTGAATTTTAACCTCTATCGTTAATAATACTATGTTTAAAAAACACCCATCAAATTTGAAAAACAACATTAACACAGTTTATTTTTATAAAAAAAGTTTTAAATTTCTTTTACTGTCATTTCATAGATTATTTCTACCTTATAAAATTAGTTTTTAAAGTTTATGAGTATTTTTTAAACTCATGTATTTTATAATTAAAAAAAAAAAGAAATTAAGGTATTTTTTAAATTAAAAAAAACTTAAAGAATATTAATGGAATTTGTAGAAATTAATAATATTTTTAAATTTTCAAGTTTAACCATATTTTACCAATTTGAATATATATATATATATATATATATATATATATATATATAATTTAAATGTATTTTTTATATATATATTTTTTAAATTAAGGGTATTAAAGTTTATTCTTAAGATAAAGGATGAATAATATTTTATTAATTTAGTCAAATACTTTTATCACTCAATTAAATAAATAAATAAATCCTCAAAAATTTTGCATTGCTCTTGAAAGTATCATTTAATTTTGACAATATACAAAAATAAATTAAAAAAAAATACTTAACATTAATTTTAAAATTAGTTTGTTTCCAAGCTAAAAAACTAGTGGACGTCTCTAGTAAACCAAAGACAATGCTCCTCCCGTCTCCTTTATACAAAAAGAAATTTGAAGACTCACCATTAAAAAAAATCGACCTTTATCCACGAATCGAAGTATTGATCCAATTCAATAAAATTATGTTTCGCGATTTTGTACTTTTTCTTGAATATTTAAAAGATTAAATTCCTTTAAGAAAAAGGTTTTTGATCAATAAAATCGGGGATACCTTAAATATTAAAGAATTAATAGAATGAATCATACTAAATTGTATCTGCTACAATGTAATTAGTGTATATAAATTAAAAATTTGTCGAAAATGAAAATAAATCGCAATAATAAGTAATAAAAAGATCCGATCAGAAAAAAAATTATAAAAATTACAAATTTTTTTAATTCTATTTAAATGGAGTACTGAAAGGAATAATAATACCCGGATTCTATATATATTTTTCTTAATCATATAAATTAAATAATAAATCTTGTTCCATTTTTTAAAAAATATTTTGTATTTTCAAATAAAATAAATAATTTTAGAGTGAATAAAGTGTAAATATAATGATAAATAACGTAGATAAAATAAAATAAAAAAAGTACCATATTTTTATTTATTTATAAAATATATATTTTTAGGACAGAATTATTAGTACACTTAATTTTCAAAAATAAAATTAATATGTATAGGTTGGAGGGGTGTACATTCAATTCGACCACCCGAACCAATCCAATCTGAACTGTAAAGATTGGGTTGGATTAGCATTTTGATTAAGGTTGGGTTCATTTTTTTTTTTTTTACACTGAATCGGTTGAAAATAAATAAAGATAATGGGTCAGAAATGGCCGATATAGCTCAGTAGAGTAGAGGGCTCAAAATCTCCGTGTTAACGGTTCAAATCTGCTATGAAAATAAATAGAGATAATGTGTTAAAAATGGGCAGTATAGCTGAGTTAATAGAGCAGAGGACTTAAAATTTTGTGTTACCGATTCAAATCTGCTATGAAAATAAATAAAGATAATGTGTCAAAAATGGCTGGTATAGATTAGTTAGCAGAGCAGAGGACTTAAAATCTTCGTGTTACTGGTTCAAATCTGTTATGAAAATAAATAAAGATAATGTGTCAGAAATGGCCGGTATAAATCAGTTAGGAGAGCAGAGGACTTAAAATCTTAGTGTTGCTTGTTCAAATCTGCTATGAGAATAAATAAAGATAATGGGTCAAAATGGCCGGTACAGCTCAGTTAATAGAGCCCTTTCTACTTTATCTTTTATTTACTTTTTGAGGGTCAAAATGGCCCGTACAGCTCAGTTAGTAGAGCCCCGTACAGCAGACGACTCAAAATTATCTACACTTTCTAGATTTTTTTTACTTTTGTCTCTACAGATTTTTTTGGTTAATAAAATTTATTAAAATAAAAAATAAAAAATAAAAATATTAACCGTATATACAAGCTGACAAAATAATTTATTATTATTTTCTTGAAAATCCTCATAAACCTAACATTGAGTGTTTACAGACACTCTCAACTGCGAATTTGAGAGAGTTTTAGCTATGGCGGCGCCAAATCTCTACTCTCCTTCACCCTCACTACCCAGAACCCTGAAACACTCCCTTAACTCAATCCCCACTGCCCGTGTTCCGATTCGACTTCACAAATCTTTCAAAAATCTCTCCCTGAAAGCTGTTCTTTCACAAAACCCTTCTAAAACTCAGCCTGAAACAGCCCAATTTCAGCATTGTTTCTCCAAATCCTCTGATGGGTTTCTTTACTGCGAGGGGATTAAGGTTCAGGAAGTCATGGAATCGGTTGATAAACGCCCTTTTTACCTCTACAGCAAGCCCCAGATAACTAGAAATGTTGAGGCTTACAAAGAGGCTTTGGAAGGGCTGAATTCGATCATTGGTTATGCGATTAAGGCCAATAATAATTTGAAAGTTTTGGAGCATTTGAGGAAGTTGGGTTGTGGGGCTGTGCTTGTTAGTGGAAATGAGCTTCGGTTGGCTCTTCATGCCGGTTTTGATCCCACCAGGTGAAACTTCCCTAGTCCTTTATTACTGCATTTGAGATTATAAGAGCTATTTGTTATGAGGAATTAACTGGATGTGGGTTTCATGATGAATTTCCCATTGAGAATTGTTGGGATGTAGTCACACATTGGCTAATCTAGGGAATGATCGTGAGTTTATAAGTAAGGAATACATCTCCATTGGTATGAGGCATTTTGGGGAAACCCAAAAGGAAAACCACGAGAGTTTCTGCTCAAAGTGGACAACATCATACCATTGTGGAGAGTTGTGATTCTTAACATGGTATTAGAGTCATGCCCTAAACTTAGCCATGTCAATAAAGTCCTCAAATGTCGAACAAAAAATTGTGAGCCTCGAAGGTGTAGTCAAAAGTGACTAAAGTGTCGAGCAAAATGTGTACTTTGTTCGGAGCCTCAATTAAGGGGAGGCTGTTTGAGAGCTCTATAGGCCTCAGGGGAGGCTCTATAGTGTACTTTGTTCGAGGAGGGATTGTTTAAGATTGATGGGAGGGAGTCCCACATTCCCTAATTTAGGAAACGATCGTTGGTTTATTAGTAAGGAATACATCTCCGTTGGTATGAGGCCTTTTGGGGAAACCCAAAAGCAAAGCCATGAGAGCTTATGCTTAAAGTGAACAATATCATACCATTGTTGAGAGTTGTGATTCCTAACATTTCCAAGCCGGACTTTCTTCGGTCATTGCATATTCAATTGTTTGTGTACTTTTTTCACTTAAAAAATCAGTTTCGGCCCCATTGTTTTCCATTTTCTCGAACTGATTTTACCTTTAACGATCGGTTTACAGATGTATTTTTAATGGGAACGGTAAGCTTTTGGAGGATTTGGTTCTAGCTGCGGAACAAGGTGTTTTTGTGAATGTGGATAGTGAGTTTGACTTGGAAAATATTGTGGCTGCTGCAAGAATTTCTGGAAAGAAAGTTAATGTTTTACTTCGTATTAATCCGGATGTGGACCCTCAGGTAAGGGCTTATAACTATTTATTATGGATGTGTGTTGCTGCTTTTATTCTTCAACCGTTCATATCGTGTGAAAAGTTCGGTATGAAATGAGTCATCTTGTAATACAAAAGTTTTATGGAAGGAGTAAGTTAGTTAAATAAATGTTAGCAATCATCTTTCAATAACAAAAAAACCCGATAGGGTGGGATTGCTGTTATAGAGTGTAACTCGTACTTCGTTTCTAATGAGGTATTCACGCAGATGATAGGATAGCCCAAACCCACCGTTAGTAGATATTATCCGTTTTGGTCCGTTACATATAGTTGTCAGTCTCACAGGTTTAAAACGTGTCTACTAGGGGAGGTTTCCTCACTCTTTTAAGGAATGTTCGTTTCCCTCTCCAACCAATGTAGGATCTCCACATCCTGTGACTTCCACGAAACTCACCTTTTGTACTTATACTCCATCAATTTCAGTGCTACCTCAATCCCCCAACTCAATAAATTTTCCCCTGCTATGCTTGAACTATCGTACAGGAAAATTGGTCTCGCTACTTAGTCACTTGTCTCCTTTCTCGTCTTGTAAGAGTCGTACAACAGGGAGGCCTAGTGTTGTCAAGTTGAACCTTCTAACTCAACATTACTATTTGGTTCATCAAAAGCTTATTTGATAGATTCCTTGTGATTCACTCTAGGTTCAAGTGCAAGAAAGTTGGTTAAAACACCATAGTTTTTGCATAAGAAAAGGTCTAATATGAGTATTTCAGTTTATAATGCAGGAAAGGAGCAAGAATACCTATTGCTGAAGTTCACTTTAAACCATAAAATTTGTATCTTATCATTGATTACAGTCAATATTTCCTCAAACAATTATCGTGTTACCATGAAGGTGTGCCGTGTCGTTCTAACCGTTCCCTAACTGAGATAAAAAAGGAATGCCTCCTTATCCTCCCTTCCCCTTAGTAGTATCCGATGTTTTCTTAATCGATTCTTTTATCATTGTTGTTAACAAATTGACTACTCACTGTATGCATTACTCAATGATAGCATTCCTCCGTTTGCCCAAGCCCACCGCTAGTAGATATTGTACTTTTTGGCCTTTTCGTTCGGGCTTCCTCTCAAGGTTTTTAAAACGCGTTTGCTAGGGAGAGGTTTCCACACCCTTATAAAGAATGCTTCGTTCTCCTCTCCAACCGACGTGGGATCTCACAAAATCCATCTACAGTTTACTTTGTACTCTGTAGTTAGCACCCAAACGTCAATATTTTGAAAATAATGCGTTCTAACCTTGAAAAGAAAAACTATTTCACATCTAGTTGCAACCGAAAAGCATATATAAAGCTACCTATTTTTTCCATTTATGTTTATAATTTGTGGTAAGTTAATTGTTATCATTCCATAATTTGATGGCTGTGTACAATGTTTACATAGGTACATCCTTACGTTGCCACTGGTAACAAAAACTCGAAATTCGGTATTAGAAATGAAAAGTTGCAATGGTTTCTTGATGCTGTCAAGGCACATCCCGACGAGCTTAAGCTTGTCGGGGCCCATTGCCATCTTGGCTCAACCATCACCAAGGTAAGCTTTCAACTATTACATCTTCCTCAATCTTTCATTATGAAATAGTTGTATTGAACTTGTATAAGCTGTGGCTATAACTTTTTAACATCTGTACTGATAATTGTATTAGTTCATGAACTGTTCGTGGTTGCTCTTAATTTATCTTGTCATTTTCTTGGATTACTGATATCATTTGTTTTTATGGTAGGTGGACATATTCAGAGATGCTGCAGAACTAATGGTCAACTACATTGACCAGATCAGAGATCAAGGTTTTGAAGTCAACTACCTAAACATTGGAGGTGGACTTGGGATAGATTATTATCATGCTGGTGCCGTTCTTCCTACTCCGAGAGATCTAATTAATACGGTCCGTCTTTAAAAAACTTTAAATATAGTTTTTCTATTACCGTGTTTAACCCGATCTAATTATTGTCGTGGATTGAACGCTGATAGAGATTTAGTAATATATTGGTCATGTGAAAACTATTTAGTGTTGGAATAACTTTTGACCCATCTGGCAACTTGGTATCCTTAGTAGTTTAGGACTCGAGTTCTAATTGCTTGATGCAAGAGATGAAGCTATAGTTCATATTGTTGAGGATTATTGGGAGAGGAGTCCCATGTCGGCTAATTAAGAGGTTGTTCATGGGTTTATAAGTAAGGAATACATCTCTATTGGTATGAGGCCTTTAGGGAAACCAAAAGTAAAGCCACGAGAGCTTATGCATGCTCAAGATGGGCAATATCATACCATTGCGGAGAGTTGTGATTTCTAACATGGTAGTAGAGCCATCCCCTTAACTTAACCATGTCAATAGAATTCTCAAATGTCGAACAAAGAAGTTGTGAGCTTCGAAAGTGTTGTAAAAAGTGACTCAAGTGTCGAACAAAGGGTGGACTTGTTCGAGGGCTCTAGAGAAGGAGTCGAGTCTCGATTAAGAGGAGGCTGTTCGAGGGCTCCATAGGCCTCAAGGAGGCTCTATGGTGTACTTTGTTCGAAGGGATGATTGTTGAAGATCCTAATTAAGGGGTTGATCATGGGTTTATAAGTACAGAGTACATCACCATTGGTATGAGGCCTTTTAGGGAAATCAAAAAGCAAAGCCACGAGAGCTTATGCTCAAAGTAGACAATATCATACCATTGTAGAGAGTTGTGATTATGCAAGAAAAGCACTTCGGATTGTTGATTCATCACCAGAGATGGCTTAGAACTACTACACATATTACCATGTCTATCCTTGTGCTTTGCGTGGCATGGTTTCGATATTGATGTTTCATGTACACTTTTCTACGAGCTATTCTTTTATTCTTGCCTGTCGAGAATTATACTATGATTTGTAAACATTCTCAAATGTGGCTGCTAATGCAGGTTCGGGAGCTGGTCCTTTCACGAGATCTTAATCTAATCATTGAACCCGGGAGATCACTTATCGCCAATACTTGCTGTTTGGTTAATCGAGTTATGGGGGTAAAAACTAACGGGACGAAAAACTTCATTGTCATCGATGGAAGCATGGCTGAACTTATCCGTCCTAGTCTTTATGATGCATATCAAGTAAGTATTCCACTAGAATGATTGTATATTGTTGTTATACATACTAATCATGCTTGGAGATGAACAAACTCTTTGTTACGACCGCGTCTTAGTTTTCCGATATGCTCTTCGTTCTATGATTAGTATGACACTCTTTCTAAGAGTACTTATTTGGGCCTCTTGGCTGTCAAATACACCATTTAGTACTTATACGTGGCGATAATTAGATCGACTCGGTGTTTGATGCAGCACATAGAGTTGGTTGCCCCAGCATCGCCTGGTGCCGAGATCTCAACTTTCGATGTGGTTGGTCCTGTCTGTGAGTCTGCAGATTTCTTAGGGAAGCAAAGGGAACTCCCAACTCCAACCAAGGTAGTATCTTATCCTGCTAGGGACCGGTCACGAGTCGTGGCCATGATGATACTTCTGTAATATCCGAAGAAAATATAAGAACGTGGTCTATAACGACGGGTAAATTTTCTTTGCAGGGGGCTGGCTTGGTTGTCCATGATGCTGGTGCGTACTGCATGAGTATGGCATCGACTTACAATCTCAAGATGCGCCCTCCCGAGTACTGGGTATGTCGCTTCTGCCTCGTTAACATGCCACTTTAGGAAATCTAAGCTAAGCTAAGCCAAGTTCATTTTGATTGCTCTGATCTTAAATGAAGTTATAAAAACTTGATTCTTTGAATTTAGGTTGAAGAAGATGGATCAGTGTCCAAAATCAGGCATGGTGAGTCGTTCGACGACCACCTCCGGTTCTTCGAAAATCTTTGATCGGAGATCCAAGTCCTTTCCCATTGTCGGATATATCGCGTTTATGACATGTATGTTTGCTTTTTCCAATTGATCAAACATGCTGTTAGCCAATGTTGACTTTTAGAAAGACAGTTCTTGAACTTGTGTAACCTTAAAAAGCAAATAAAACATGTTCTTGTTTCTTATCCTACGTTGTATGTGCATAGAAGAATGGTAGGATCGCTGTCTCATTGAGCTAAAAGATAGCAGACAGCAAATATGGAGTGGAAGCTGGATCCTTGAGCTGAGTTGGTGATACTATTATTATGAATCTGCTGAGTTGATTGTCATTTTAGTCCTCGAGATTTCATAACGGTTTCGTTTGGTTCCCAACGGATAGTATAACGATAGGGACGATCCAATTCACGTGCAAAATGGGTATACCAACTCAGCTTGTCTTTAAAAGCTTAAGAACAAAATTTACATACAGTCCAGTAGGAGTCTTACACTCAACTTTGAAATCCTATGAATTAACCACCGAAAAAAATGTGCACATTGTTGATATTGACCGTAACTATTCATTCATTCAAGTATTTTATCATTATATACTTGTGATCATTTTCATTAAGATGAGGTATCAGTTGATTCAATTACTCTTTATTTACTCGGGTTTCACATTAAGTGTGAGATGATCAATTCATATTACTCTTTATTTACTCGGGTTTCACATCAATTGAACCTTACTCGGGTTTCTCATCAAACTCATAAATAAAAATATCCTTACACGTACTCTGTCTTTAACATCCGTAAACTTTTGAAAAAATATTCTTAAAAATACTTTTATCGTTAGTTTTGGATTGTAACAGTTTTGAACTAAACAAAATTACCGTCAATAAATCGTCTATTGACACTTATAAGTTATCTCTAAACTTTTTATTAATGGAATTTTTGAAACAAATTATAAAGTTCGAGAATATTTTTATTAATTTAATCTCGAGAACATTTTTCAAAAATAGTTAAAAAAAAAAGTGATATTTCCATTAGAGAAAGAAAGAAGTGGATTCAATCTCTAAAGTCTAACCGAGAAAAATTTTCAAATTCCTTTCAAGAACTTTTGTTGAAAACAGATGAAGAGAGAATAGAAAGAAAGTAGAGCCACACTTCGATCTCGAATATATCCATTTCGGATCATAGACGGCGGCAGCCCGCAGGAAACGCGTCTTTGGATTATCCTCCGTTTACTTCTTCACCACTTTTCCACATAACCCTCTTCCATTGGAGCCCAAAAAGTTCAAAATACCAAAAAACATCGAAACGGGATAAAGAAAATAACCGGTTTTTCATCCTAAAAACACCCCACCTGCTGGATTTCCCTCTCCTCCTCCCTTTTCACCATTGCTCTACCCGTTTCAGAAATACCCATTTCGTAAAACCCCCCAAAATCCAAAGAACACAGCGCCCTAAACCTAACCCTCTTCCAATCGAAGGTCAGCCTAAGTTTATCTTAGGCTTTTTCGAGTTGAATATTCTTAGCCCGCGTTTAATCTCGGTGGGTTGCGCCTAATTCTCCCTTTTTCCCCTGATTTTGCTATGTCATTTTGGGATTGAATTGTTAGGGACTGAGTTTTGGGTTCTGTTATTGATTTTGCTTTCTGGATTGGAGCTTAAATGCTCTTTCTGTTATTGGGTGATCGTCCAATGTTCTTATTATTCTTCATACTTTTTGTTGATTGAATTTGCATTTGACCTGTGAGTAGTTTATTGCATGTGCCCTTTTGTTCTTTTTCTTTTTCATGCGTTGTTGGTTTGATTCTGTCTCTTTATGAAATTATCCCTTATCTCTATTGCCAAGCGAATGTGAGCGGTAAGGATTGTGTTTTTTAAATGATCTTGCCTGCAATTTGTTAGGTTGGGAAGAATCTGGAGGTAAAGTGAAGGAAAAAGATAAACAATTGTTTACATCTTTATCCTTGTTCTTTTGTTCTTTGATTTTGATGTTTTTAATTGATTCTGTTCATGTAAAACTATGGATTTGGAAGTCGGTTTCGTTTTTAAGTGGATTTCATTTGTTTGGAAGAATAATTAAGTGAATATGGAATTATGTACTGTTCCTTTGAACCAAAAGATCGATCAATTAGAAAAGTAAGCCATAGACGGAATGAAAGTTTAGCTTAATCCTCCTTTGAATGATGTGATATCCCACATTGGTTGAGGAGGAGAACGAAACACCCTTTATAAGGGTGTGGTAACCTTTTCCTAGTAAACGCGTTTTAAAGCCTTGAGGGGAAGCCCGAAAGGGAAAGCCCAAAGAGGACAATATTTGTAGTGGTGGGCCTGGGCCGTTACAAATGGTATCAGAGCTAGACACCGGGCGATGTGCCAGGGAGGAGGCTGTTCCCTGAAGGGGGTAGACACGAGGCGGTGTGCCAGTAAGGACGCTGGGCCTCGAAGGGGGTGGATTTAGTGGGGGTCCCACATCGATTTGAGAAGGGAACGAGTGTCAGCGAGGACGCTAGGCCCTGAAGGGGGGTGGATTGTGATATCCCACGTTGGTTGGGGAGGAGAACGAAACACCCTTTATAAGGGTGTGGAAACCTTTCCCTAGCAATCGTATTTTAAAGCCTTGAGGGGAAGTTCGAAAGGGAAAACCCAAAGAGGACAATATCTGCTAGTCGTGGGCCTAGGCCGTTACAAACGGTGAACTATTTCTTTTTTTTTTTATTATTGTGAAGCAACAATTTCATTGGTTTTACAAATCTTGTTCTGTGCCCCTAGGCATCTGTCTATGGAGAGTTATAATCTTCATCTATATTAAGCAGAAGTTTTTCAAGTTCATGATGAGTTCAAGATTGTTTTGTGAAATGGAAGTGTTTGTTCATTCAATAAAAGAGTTTTGAATGCTTTAATCCTTTGGATCATGTTCTATATGATTTATATCCGAAATTTTCTGGTTGTCTTAAATTTCAGGTTCTACCGCACTTCCGTGGAAGCTGGGCGTGCGGGGAAAAATCATTGAAGTCACCGTTATTTAGGTTCGGTCAAGTTTTTAGCTCTAATATGGCTGCTGATCCTCTGACAAGCTCGAATGGAAATGCCAATGTCAATGCACCACCTAATCCGCGAAGGACTTATCAAGTCGTTGTAGCTGCTACTGAAAACATGGGTATTGGTAAGGATGGGAAACTACCATGGAGGTTGCCTTCTGATCTCAAATTTTTTAAGAACATAACCGCGACAACATCAGATCATGGGAAAAGGAATGCGATTCTAATGGGTCGTAAAACATGGGAGAGTATTCCGGCTGAGTATCGACCTCTACCTGGTCGTCTCAATGTTGTTCTGACTCGCTCTGGAAGTTTCGACATTGCCACCGTCGAAAATGTTATAATATGTGGTAGTATGACGTCTGCTTTGGAATTATTAGCAGCTTCACCTTATTGTTTGTCAATAGAGAAAGTGTTTGTCATAGGTGGTGGTGAGATATTAAGGTGTGCACTTGTTTTCGAGACCTTCGTTAGTGTACTATTTTTTGTTTCGGCGCACTGATTGTGTTTTTAATGCAGGGAAGCTCTGAACGCCCCCGAGTGTGATGCGGTCCACGTTACTGAAATCGAGACAAACGTTGAATGTGACACCTTCATACCAGCTATCGACAAGTCTATGTTTCAGCCATGGTACTCGTCCTTTCCCGTGGTGGAAAATAACTTACGATATTCATTCACTAGTTATGTTCGTGTGAGGAGCTCAACCGAACCACCCATTGATCAGAACAATGGTCTGGTCTCTCACAACAAACCAGATTCTTTTAACTTCGAAGCTAAGAACTTCTCTTTCCTACCCAAGGAGATTTTCGAGAGGCACGAGGAATACTTGTACCTAAAACTTGTTCAAGAAATCATCTCAGACGGTACTTCCAAGGATGATAGAACGGGAACGGGTACTTTATCAAAATTTGGTTGCCAGGTAACGTTATCTTTCTTATTATTTGACATATTTATCTTTTATACAAGTTGCTCTATTTCGAATGCTACACGTTCATCTCTTGTTCGCGGTATCTGTACAGATGCGGTACAACTTGCGCAGAACTTTTCCGCTGCTTACAACTAAGGCATGTGCTCGTTTCGTATTTTGGTTTCCTTTGTAGCTGTGGCATGAAAGAAAAACTCCTTTTTTTACTCGTCTTGTTTCCGTTTTTAAATTTCTTAAATCGGGTGCATCGTATATGGTAATGGTTTAGTCATTGACATATATTCGTACCACGTGATCCTTCAGAAAGTCTTTTGGCGAGGGGTTGTTGAAGAACTTCTTTGGTTCATCAGTGGTTCAACCAATGCAAAGGTAAGGCGCTATGCTATCACTAGCACTTAAAGCTTTACTTCACTAGTTTGTGGTTGTGATTGTACAACCCCGCACCCCGCACGTTGAGTTAGAATTTCTTGGTTTAGGAATTAGGAACTAAGCGATTAAGTGTTTTGCTTTCTTGGTTTAGTGGTTGTGGTGTTTCGGTTCATAGCTTGGGGCCTTGTATGATTTGTGTTTCGGTTCACAGTCTCCCTAGTTTTCCTCTGTGAAATCCTACGTCGGTTGGGGAGGAGAACGAAACATTCTTTATAAGGGTGTGGAAACCTCTTGCTAGTACATGCGTTTTAAAAACCTTGAGGGGAAGCCTGGAAGGGAAAGCCCAAAGATGACGATATCTGCTAGCGGTGGGCTTGGGCTTGAGCTGTTCTCAACGTAGGGCTAGACCTACTCCATTGTGGTTTATCTTGCATTGGCATCTTGTTTTGGCCTACCAGTGAGGCCTTATTTTCGACATTATCAACAGGTTCTTCAGGAGAAAGGCATTCATATATGGGATGGCAACGCGTCGAGAGATTACCTCGATAGGCAATTACTTATACCTTCGAAATTTGATTCTTTTTAATATGAAACTAGAGAAGTTTGAGTTTTTTTGTATATAATTTGAGCTATAATTCTGTTTTTTTTTTGGGTAATCTTAGTATTGGTTTAAGAGAAAGGGAGGAAGGCGACTTGGGACCCGTATACGGGTTTCAGTGGCGACACTTTGGTGCTAGGTTCGTCGATAACTTCGATGATCTCTTAAGTTTGTTTTTATTTTATTGCGGATTCGAGCTTTAATGCTTTCGACGCTTCTTCTACAGGTATACTGACATGCATGCTGACTACACTGGTCAAGGATTTGATCAGTTGCTAGACGTTATTAACAAGATAAAAAATAATCCCGATGATCGGAGGATCGTTCTTTCTGCGTGGAATCCATCTGATCTCAAACTGATGGCACTCCCGCCTTGCCACATGTTCGCTCAGGTTGGACTCAAGGGCATGATGTTCCGTGTCTTTAACTTGTTTCGTTAATGTTGTTTATTGATCGCCTTTTGCAGTTTTATGTAGCGAACGGGGAGTTATCGTGTCAAATGTATCAGCGCTCTGCTGATATGGGCCTTGGTGTTCCATTTAATATTGCGTCGTATGCTCTTCTGACGTGCATGATTGCTCATGTTTGTGGTATGCTACTCTATATTGATCAGTAGTTTGTTTTCTACTATTGTGAGATCCCACATCGATTGGAGAGGGGAACGAATCATTCTTTATAAGGGTGTAGAAACCTCTCCGTAATAAACACGTTTTAAAACCGTGAGGCTGACGACGATACGTAATGGGTCAAAGTGGACAATATCTGTTAGTAGTAGGCTTGGGTTGTTACAAATGGTATCAGAACTAGACACCGGGCAGTGTGCCAGCGAGGTCGCTGGGCTCCCAAGGGGGTGGATAGTGAGATCCCACATCGGTTGGAGACGGGAACGAAGCATTGTTTATAAGGGTGTGGAAACCTCTCCCTAACAAACGCGTTTTAAAACCGTGAGGCTGATGGCAATACGTAACTAGACAACCGGACGATTATACACATCTATATGGCTCTTTAAACATTCCGAACCTACATTTATACTTTTAGTTACATAAAAAAGTTTATTCTTCCTACGTGCAGATCTTGCTTACGGAGACTTCATACATGTGATCGGAGACGCTCATGTTTACCGTACTCACGTGCGGCCATTGCAGGAACAGCTTCAGAAACTCCCGAAACCGTTCCCTGTAAGTCGGAAAACTATAATTACATGGTTCTTCCATGCTCGCGTTCACTAACTTGCTGTTTTTAATACTACACCGGCCTTACCTTATTATAGGTTTTGAAGATAAACCCCGAGAAGAAGGATATCGATTCGTTCGTGGCAGCTGATTTCGAGCTAACAGGTTATGACCCTCATGAGAAGATAGCAATGAAAATGGCAGTATAGAACATGATCTAGCTGCCCCAGCAGACAAAGGAGACTAAGTTCCTTCTACCACATATTCTCCAAATTTTGAGGTTAGTACACTATGATTACCATGAAAAATGTCGGTTTTTAGTTGTTTTGAAATTGATCGTACCAGGTCGAAGAGCTGGTGTATGAAAGCGTTCGTGTTATTCCATGGTACTGAAGCGTTTTGCGCGATATTTCAGGTACGAGCACCAGAAGCTTTGGTTGATATGATCTGCAAATAAAAAGTGTTAATTGGACATACTTTAATACTTTGTCATATGTAGTGAGAATCCTTTAGTCCCTATGGTTGGTTCTAAAGTGATTTAGTTCGGTTTTGTATTTGCTATAGATTTGTTCTCGTTGAAAAAATGGAACGGTTTCACACACGAATACACGGTCGGTACTATTATAATACCATGCTACGTACAAATATAATACAATCTCGATCGATCTTTCTTGGAGTTTATTTGGTTTTGAAATGATGGTGAATTTGATGGATTTTGTTGTGTATACGTTGTTGTTGTTACCTGAAAAGATAGCCGAACCCGCCTTTGTTTCTCGGTCTCTGCTTGATTGAACATATTTGCATATTCCATGTTAGAGAAACAATGAAGTTAGGAGACTTGAACGACCAATCTCGACGTTAGACCAAATATTTTAGAGTTTACGTCAAAGTCGAGGGATTTGAGTCTATATCTTTTGAATAATCGTTTGGAAACGAAATGTAGTATCGAAGTTCATATGGTGGCGATGTTGCCGTGGAGATTAGGAAAGGTGTAACGGGCTAAGCCCACTGTTAGTAGATATTGTCCTCTTTGGGTTTTTCCTTGCGGACTTCCCCTTAAGGTTTTTAAAACGCGTTTGCTAGGGAGAGGTTTCCACACCCTTATAAAGAATGTTTCGCTCCCCTCTCCAACTGATGTGGGATCTCACAGACCACCCTCCTTTGGGGCCCAACGTCCTCGTTGGTACACTGTCTGGTGTCTGGCTCTCATACTATTTGTAACGGCTCAAGCTCACCACTAGTAGATATTGTCTTCTTTGGGCTTTCTCTTTTGGACTTTCCCTCAAGTTTTTTAAAACGCGTCTATTAGGGAGAAGTTTCTACACCCTTATAAATAATGCTTCGTTCCCTTCTCCAATCGATGTGGGATCTCACAAACCACCCTCCTTCGAGGCCCAACGTCCTCGCTAGCCGTTCGGTGTCTGGCTCTAATACCATTTGTAATAGCCCAAGTCCACTACTTGTAGATATTGTCCTCTTTGGGATTCCTTTCAAGGTTTTTAAAACGCGTTTGTTATAGAGAGGTTTTCACACCCTTATAAAGAATGTTTTGTTCCCCTCTCCAACTGATGTGGGATCTCACAATCCACTCCGTTCGGGGCCTAGTGTCCTCGTTCGCACTCGTTACTCTCTCCAATCGATGTGAGATCTCACAAAAGAATCTCGAGTTTGTTTTACGATGAAAAGATTGAATTTTAATAGATCATGACAGTATAGTCACTCTACCTACCTGTGTCTTGGAAATGGTAGGCGAATTGTGTGATGAGCTAAAAGGTGCGGCATCTATAAGCCCTTTCTTATTCGAGGTTCTTTGTTTGCTGATAGGAATTGAATTGGATGCCTCTGTTCCATGGACTGGTTGGTTGCCTTTGTATTGAATATTCTTCACCTTCTTCTCTTTGTCCAATTAACAGCTCTTTTGAATACATTCCCTTTCCATTATTACCATTATCTTTCACATTCAATGAAAATAGAAAGCCCCTCTTCTAAGCTCTTATCCAAATAAAATCTCATTCCTTAGATTTTCAATTCTACTCGTGATACCAATTAGGTCATAATGTCGTTTTCTATTGAGTTAGAGGAAAGTTGAAACGCTTTTATGATACTTGGTTGCATGTTCAATTGATTTAGACGTGTACTATTGACTAAGAGGTCTAGAAGGAGTTTGAAATCTCTTGATTCTCTGTATTGTTAAGCTCAAAAAGGTCTTTTTGGTGGACAGTGTTTATGGGTTGGGTCAGATTAGGACACTAAAAAGGTCTTTTTAGCTAACGGTGTTCATCGGTTGGGTTGGGTCGGGTCAAGTTAGGTCATTTTAGGCTTGACTCAATTGTTCAGGTTGTAAATTTGGACAAATTGAATTGGGTGGATCGAGTTCTTCGAGTCACTTAATCTTTGGCCGTAGGTCGAGATCTTAATTTTTGATATTTTTCCCAATTTGCCCCTATGGATTTTCTTGAACAATGGCATGTGTGGTCTCATGGATGTGTACCAATTATATTCTCTTTGCATTACAAATTTTATTGGGAGGATTCTCAAATCTCAATAGAATTTGATTCAAATCCATTTGGTGGATTATGATACAATGTTTATATATGTCACACATTCTTTAATTTATGAATATTAATTTAGTTTCCTAAGTATAAAAGAGATGCTCTAGCACACATTATCAATAATAACGTATAACAACTGTTGTATTTTATAAGAACTCTTTGTCATACTGTTTTATTTTATAAGAACTCTTTGTCAAGTTGATCTGTCTGATATAAAACATATACCATCAACCAAGAGATTAGAGGTTTGAATACCTCATTTTACGTATTGTTGAATTCATTGATAGCGAATTTGTATTATAGGACGAAATTCATATCTATAACTCAGATCTATAGATATATTGACAATAATTTTAATAAAAATGACGGATATCATGCATAATATCCTAAACTTTTTTTTTTTACTAAACTTTCTTTATTAAAATTATGTTATATTATGGATTGTTTAGGAAAAATATTAGACTAATTCCATATAAACACTTTTTTTTTTTGGATAATATTCAATATTATTCGACTTTTTATAAATATTTTAAGAGGTAATAGGTCTCAATTTTTGTCCAAATATTTTAATAAATTTTAACTAAAAAAATTAAAAAGGAATGATTTAGGGCTCTATCTAAACAACCAGAACACTTTTGGATGGATGAGTGGTAGATTTCATTCAAATATATATAAACAACAAGAACACTTTTAGATGGATGAGTGGTAGATTTCATTCAAATATGTAAAAATAAAATTAAAATGGAGAATTCTCTCTTTAGAAGTAAGATTCAACTCGTAACGGTAATCACTTGCAGGATTTACGAGATGCGGAAGAATTGATTTACTTGTGGCTAATACCTAAAATACACAGAATTCTTCCTCCCTTCTCAACCTCTGCTGCCGCGCTATGAACGCCTCCACCGTCTGTCGAAACTCTTCGTTGCTCATCCGATCTTCCGGACTCGGCCTATTTCTTGTTTCTTCACTCAATCGGACGATTTTCTTACACTTTTCCGTCTCCGATCGGCGAAGTTCACGATGCGGATTTTCTCGCTGTACGACGCCTATTTTCTCCGATTCACTCCTCTGATAATGTTTGATTTCGCCGATTTTTTTTATTGCGATTGAGGTATCGCTGTTGCCGTTGCCGCGGCTGTCATCGATCTGTTTAACGCGATACTCGATCTCGGCGCGGCGAGTTTTCTGATTCTTCTCACTGTTTTGAACGAACTCCTCGTAAAGATCGGCAACCGAATTCTTCTTGCTCGGATCCTTAGCAGAGAACTGTCCAGATTTGGCAAACAAAGTGATTACAATAGCGTTTCCGATCAGAAACACAAAGCGAGGACTGATCAATGTCACCGACAAGCACCGGAAGTACTCGCCAGAGTTCTTGAAGGCGCTCGGCAGATTGCTAGAAAATCTCGTGATCACAACGAGAATCAAGCACAATTCGATGAATCGAAACAGATTAGCGATTTTCCTGACCTGTCGATACTTGAGAATCGCGTTCATCTTCGCTGCTCTTACATCGTAGAAATTGACAGATTCCATTTCCAGAAAGAAACAAAATCAATTCAGCAAAAACCACAGCAAAATTTTCAAAAACGATCTCGTAAAAATCAAATCAATGTCACAAGTAAACAAACTCCTCCTCCGTCAAATTCTTCGATCCAACCGTAACGATCATCTCCAGGAAACAGAACGATGCTGCAAAGAAATTGGTGAATGGAAGCATGGAAACAGAGAGAAAAATCAACAACAAAAAAAAAGAGTAATCTCAACTTTTTTCCTTTCCTTTTGCCAAATGAGAAAGTTAGCTTTATTGCTTTGAATGCTTTAGTCGGACTGGTATTTATAGTCGAAATTTTAAAACATTTTATTTTTATTTTTCTCTATAATTCATATATTCCATTTACTTTATTTGCAATTTGAAGGCTTTTGTCCAGAAGACCATTTAAAAATTATTAGTTGAAAATTATATATGAGATAAAATATGTCCATAGCCTTAAAGTTAGGTAACAAAGTCCTTGGAAATTATTTTTTGAGAAATGAAAAACAACATGATATTAAAATAATAATTTTTTTTTTACTTTATTTTTCTATTCCAAAAGTACTTATTTTTTAAAACAATAAAGGTAAAAATAGAATATTATTCATCATTTAATATTTAATTCGTATTCTATTATTGTGTTTTCGACCAGAAGTTTACAGGTTGGGTTGGTAAAATCATTTGGTGGCTAAGTTGGTGACCCGTGTTAGACAAACACAACTCTCCACAATAGTATAATATTGTCCCTCATACTTTGCTTTGGGCTTCCCAGAAGGTATCATACCAATGGAAAGAGTATTGGTTGATTATAAACTCATGATCATTCTTTAAATTAGTCAATGTGGGACCATTTTCAACATGGCTAGACTCCTTTTTCTTTTGGAGTCCTCGACATTTGAGGATTTACCAATCTATTGGCATGACTACGATACCATGTTAGACGAACACGACTCTCCACAATGATATGATATTGTCCATTATACTTTGCTTTGGGCTTCCCCAAAAGATCTCATATCAATGGAGAGTATTTTTTTTATTATAAACACGTGATAATTCCCTAAATTAGTCGATGTGGGACTTTCATCATCCAACAACCCGAACACTCGAATAGAGTTTACAATTGTTCATAAACGTTAAATGTGCTTAATCTTCATAATTATCTTCAAAGTAAGTAGGACAGAATTGAGTTGTAACTCTATTTAAAAGGGTCGTATCAAATTATATATATATCATAAGATTCCCGCCTCTAATTTTTTAGAAAATAATTAATGACTTGATAATTAAAAAATAGATTTTTAAAAAAATCCACTTTTTATTTATAATTTTTATACACTTATTAGAAATAAATAATAAAAAAACACACGTAGAATTTGAATATTTTGATGCCAATTTATAATTTTTTTTAAAATATTATTTAAAAGTAATTTATTTAATTGCTGAGTAGACAGACAGATATTGGTGGGAAGTGCCAAGTGGACAACTGAATGGAGGTGCCACGTCGACTTTCTTACTCACTAAGAAAATACCACGTGGCACCTTTTAAATTTTTTTCAATCAATCCTTTGGAAATTTCTTTTTTCCATTTTTTTAATTAC